ACCGCCTCGTCATGTGCTCACCGAGATTGGACGGACTTTTCCGACCATGAATCTCACGTACTAGTACCGGGCCAGTTTCTCGGGCCCCTAATTAATGACACTCAATGCGCGGTCATCCATGGCCGCTCCCGTGATGTGCTGCTGGGCACCGCGGCTGCTGATGTGCAGACAGAACTGCATGCTGCTGCCTTCACCATGCAACTTCGGATCTCGTGGTATGCTGCATGTTGGCTCTTGGCTGCTTTAGGTGACATGTTCTGGTTAGGAGCGCACTGCTTTGTCAAATCCCAAACCAAGTCATCCAAGAAGAAAAATCCAGGTGGAAAGCGCCTTAAATTTAGAAAAGTTCCCTCGACGTCATGGAATAGAATTAAAATGTGGAAGGGACCATGGAGACAAGCGTTCAGACAACTCGAAGATCTTCACTTCTTCTGCCCCCCTGCTAGACACGTTGGCAACATGCGTGTTCCTGGGGTGAAAGTCTTAAAAGGCTTAGGCAGGTGCTGGCGAAGATCTCCCGCTAAGACCTGTGTGGTTGCTGATGCCAAGCTTGTTTCGTGCTGTCGCAGTTACCTTTTGAAAAGACAACAGAGAAACCAAATGCTTCACTCACAGGCCACAATTGGCAACAAGGATTTGGACAATGGTAGAATTTCATATCAAACACCAGCTGACATTTTCCACTTGGCCGATGAACTGGCTGGTGGCATGGCTGGCGGAGCTCATGTGACTAAGCGAAAACGCCGAAAGGCCGCACACAACGATTCGTTGGCTGATGCTTTGCAGTGTTTTTTGAGCCAATGGCAACAAGCTCAGAAGCCACCGAAAAAGAAAGGTGGCACCAATGCTGTCTCTAAAGACTCAGGTGTCATATCAAGGTCAACAACCAAGGTAACTCAGATTCCAATGGTTCGTTGTTGACCATGTTGTTGACTGTACTTCAGGAGTGCAGCGCACAGAAAAGCAACGATGCTGATGTTTTGCTGAAAATCCCAGACAAACTGTCGACATGGAAACAGAATGAGCAGTCCACTTCCACTCAAAGATGGCAGCCGCCTCAGACTCACAAGACTGCTAATCAGGTTTCACGGCAAGACTGGCAACGAGAATGGCCAGAACTTCCGCGGACGAAACAAAGTCACCAACAAACGGTGCCTGACAGGCGGGCAAACAGCACTGTCGGGGCGACGATAGCAGGGTTCAATGACACTGAATGGACTATGCCTTTGAAATTGACACAGAAACGCAAAGCCCTAGAGGTTTTGACGGCAGGCCAAGAGCTTGAGGCCAATCTTATTCCTGCCCAGACTTTTGA